CAAATTCTCTAATGCTTTGACTACAAATGGTTGTCTGTTGTAACTACAGTAGGCTTATTTCATCTTACTGCGCTCTCTATTCAATAGAGCCCTGATCTGTACTATTAAGGACAGTGGGAACTTTAGCACTGACTTCAGTGGTTTTTATTTCAGGTCCTGGCTAGCTTCATAGACGTGAGAATGGTTTGAAGGGGATTAATCTCCTTGCTCTATACCAGCAATGCTCAGCCCTAGCCTATCAGCCAAATCTGGCCTGCAGAGCCCATGGGGCTGGATTCAGGCCATTGCTGCACAGCCAGATTGGTGCCAGGCCATTGCCACATGGCACGTAGTATTAGGTCCACCAGCTGGATCTGGCCCGCAGGTGGACCTGGCATCACCTATCTAGACCATGGGGTGAAAAGTTTGGGCACCACTGCTCTATATAATGACTGGATTAACACGGTGGCCGAGGGGACCCTCGGGGTGCGGCGCGTGCCCATCCGTGTCATGCCTCTGTCAGAAACGGTCAGTAGTCTGGCAGCATGTCTCTGTGTTTCAAAAAAAAACTTGCAGTCATTTCTCTCCCTTACAATATGTACTTTCACACTCATTGATTAATACTGTGAGAGTGAAAGTGTCTGATTATTTCTAGTCAGCTCAGAGGTGACTAACTTCTAAGTGTGAAAATTCAGAGATTTAGGTCATAAGGTGGTGCTACAAAGTTTTTAAGCATGTTCTGTGGTCACTATAGAGAATAATGACTTCATTTTGAAGTCATGATAGTGTCTACTCTAAAGGATTAAAAATTCATCTGCAAAAAGCCAAAACCAACCTCCCCACAATATAAAACCAAAATACTCAACACCAAAAGCAAAAGCAATTCTTTCCCCCACCTTGAAGTCCACAAAGAGAAGCTGTGTTCTCAGATAAAATTAGACAGCATTTTGCTTGCACTTGCTTTGTGGCTGTACCTGAAAAAGACCCGAAATAGCTTCCTTGGGGTGTTATAGAATCCATTGGGGAAAAAATATAACAATTTTCTTCATTTTACAAATACACTAAAAAGAGATTCGCTCTTTAGGGGACAGTAAAAATTCAACCAAGCAAGTTGAGTTAGGTTCTTTCTGATTTGTGCATTGTCATCAAATAGTGATAATTTTATGGGGAAAACTAGACTTGCACTTCTGCCCTCACTGAAAACAATGGAGACCATCCAGGTGTATTTGAGGGCAACATTTAGTACTGTAATCACAGATTTGTTAATAATTCTGTTAATTTTTGTATGAAACAGAAAAGTGTTTTGAAAAAAAGGCTTCTAAGGTTCTAAAAAGATTTTTTTTAAAGCAACATGCAGTCTTGTTATATTTAGACATATAAATGTTGATACACGGTGTACAACCCTATTGAATATAGTGTCATTTTAGTTATCTGTCTGCAGACAGCTATGCCAGATATTTTCATAATTTTTATTTAGTGCTTTAGATTGTACAAATGTGCTAAAAAAGTCCAAATGAACTAGAACTAGCCATTTGAGTAATCTCCATGTAATACTTTGGTATTAACAGATACACGAATACTAGGCTTAGTTAGCAGTCTGAGAATTAAAAATATAACTGGTATAAAGGATAGAAAAAGAATAAAACTTTGTTTTAAGAAAAAAATCCTTTCCATAAATAATAGATGAGTTCTAAAAGTAGTTAGCACACTTATAAGAAATTTTTTAACCCTCTAAAATTAAAGCCCCTCTAGCAAATGTATTTTAAATTTTAAAATAAGACTGATCAAAAACTATCACATTTTAAAAATGCAAAGTATAAAGTTATTTAGTATAAGGATTCTGAAAGCAATTTAAACAGGGGCTGTTCTTTGGCCTATAATCTATCCTTTATCCGGATTACAGATCAGAATGTTTTTACTGCAATCTCTGCCAGAGCTCATCTTTTTATTGTGTACTCTCAAGCCCCCTTAATGTTTTAGAAAGGCCTTGACTAACTGAACTTTGATCTGATGTCTTCATTGAGAAAAGCTCCAGGTTGCCTATTTTGGATGCAAATCCTCACTGAGACCCAATAGAATTTAGTAAAGACAGCAAAAAAGAAGAAACAAGAAGTTTCCAGGATCCTCTTTGAGAATCCTGGGGAACATTAGTGTCCTTAATCCACCCTGCTGCATGGATTAAGGTTGGTGATAACCTCTCTTGATTCAAAAGAATGAACACAGTGCCTACAAACTGGGTGGAGACTCGGATTTGGCTATAATAAAACACCATGCAATAAAAGCTCCGTCTATGTCAGAAGCCTATGAATAGGCCTCAATGTACCACATTCCCAGGCTTAGTAGGGAAGCTTGCAAAAAGCCTACCTGAATCAAGTAAGCATGTATAATCTGTCTTCGCAGAATGGCCATGGAGAGTGCAAAACAGACTTTTCATCCCTCTTAAATTTGAGTTGATAAGTTTATTACTAGATTGTAGGTTCAAGCTTGTTCTTCCTTGGATTCCTATGAGCTAGTCTGCACAAGGAGAAATGCACTAAATTGTCAGTGAGCAGAGTGTGCTTTTATGCTACCGTCTGCTGTTAATGTTTCTAATTGCAATACTAATGTGCTAGAAATCTCAGATTTAGGATGAATCAAGGCAGAAAATTGATTTCATGCTGTGACAGTTTATATATTGCCCCAAGAACACAAGCAGTTCATTCAAAAAAAAAAAAAAAAAAGCGGGGTGGAGTGGGGGGGCAGGGTGAAGAGAGAGAGGGGGAGAGGGAGGGAGAACCCCCCCCCCCCCACATTAGACCTTTTCACAATGCAAGCTAGGCTGTACCTAGTATTTTTAGTGAGAAGTATAAATTATTTTATACTCTTACTACAGGCAGAGGTACCACTTAAACTTAGCATGATCAGTACGCAAGCAGGCAACTACGTATAAATCTACAGTATATTTATGATGTGCTGAATATTTGTATGCTGATTTTTATGCATGCAATGTGTACTATTCAAGACACGATTATTAATTTAGAATGATATATAACTTGAAATAGTTATTAGCTGGTTAAGCATGTATGTAAAGTTTTCGGGAAGGGAAGTGAATAAAAGCCATTTCTAGTAACAAAAATCGCTTTGGTCACTTAAAAGTAAATCTAAATTAGCTAACAAAAATAATAAAAAAGACAACTTTTACACAGCATTTGTGTTTCACATAAAAATCATGTTGAACGGACAAAAAATTCAACTGACATGTTTGGAGCTCTTAAAAGGATAGCTTATGCTTTCTAGCCTTTGTAACCTAATCTACTCTAATTTTGCAAATATTTATAGATTAAAAATTTAAATACAATCAGTTTAAAAACTAGATCTAGTTAGAAAGTAAATTTGGGGGGTTTTTTTAGTTTTATTTAAGTTTCTTTTGATAGAAATTTTTAACCAGTCAACACACATCAATCAAAGTTGAAGCACTTAATTAAAAGCTATTACCACATATATTAGAACCATCCTAGAGGCTGACATACTACATCAGTTAATGCTTCCAACTAGCCAATTACTGAAAAAATAGCATAATTACATAAAAATTCATTCAACCGACCATCAAATATTTCTGTTCTCTGATGTAATCAAAATATATTAATTTGCTAGCATTTTTTAAACTGTATTTTTATTTTTTCATTGATTAAGTATTTAAAGAAATGCTATTTTTCAGAAAATTATAGTACATGCATCTTAGGGAATTATCACCAAATGTTTAAGAAAACAATGATGTTAATGAGGGAATCATCCCTTGTAATGTTGGACAGTTGGTCTACACTAAACTGTTATTCGTCTATAGGCTCTACAACTTTCAATATCCAAGTTCAGTTTGCTGTAAGCAAGAAGTGCATTCTGCTCTACTTAAATATCATCTTACTAGACAGAATAATGTAGGATGGACATATGCCTATTTCAAGTTATGGTTGATATAACTCTAAGACTTCTTATGTTAAAGTAATGGTAATGAATTAGTTTTACATCAATGTATAAATAAAATTAGTTTTACTTAAAAAAAAATAAAACTGTATTTTGTGATGGTTTAGAATGGCACAGCTAGCTCCATATTAATAAAATTGATGAGATTTATGAGATCACCCTGGAGGCTGTTTGATTTGGCATGTCACCATATATAAGTATTCCCTGACACAAATTTATAGCCATGTCTGTGCAATTTCACAGAAAACCAAACATGCCAAGCCTTATAAGATCATTTTGTCACATTCCAATTATATTTTTAAGAATATGACTGAACTTACTAGGCAGTCATGGCTACATCTAAATCAGCATGTATAAAATACTTAAGCCTAACTGCATGGACAAAACAAGTTGGCTGTTGGGTGCAGTACAGGATGCTATTAAGCTCTGATTGCATTATTAGACTAAACGAAAAAGTAACCAGCCTAAGGAAAAACATAACTCACAAAATACTAACAGCTGTTAACTCTGAAGAAGTAACCAGTGGGCTTGTTTCTTACATACTGCCTTCACAATGATTAGTTTCTAGCGACACTGAAGCTGATATGATCTCAAGTGCTTACTTTACTTATTACGCACATGGATAAGCAAGTCAACAGCTTGTTTTAATACAGTACTTTCACTGGAGGGATCTAATAAGTGCTGTTCATTAAACCTATATAAATCATCAATGTATACCTAAGCCTAGACAAATACTTAATATAAGTAAGAGACAAATTTACCTAGATTAAGAAACTATGCTGTGATATTCTTGAATTAAATCAAAAGGCCCTTGGTGCTTTAATATTTTAACTTGATTTTCTTTACAAATTATTGTTAAACAAGATGGGATTTCATGCAAAAAATGTTTGACTTCGATTCTCATCTCTCTGTATCTTTGATAATCAAGAAACACATGATAGTACCACAGTCTCTTAGCAATTCTGTGGTTTGGGTTCTAGTGATATATATTTAAAGAACAAGTGAATTTTAACCTTTATCTAACATTATAGGAAAATCATCATAAAATACTATTTAATTACCTCCATTTTTGGTAAATTCTGGTAACGCCAGGCGATCTTCATGTAGTCCTGAGATTCTTTAGATTTAAAAACTGCTTCTTCTTCATTCACTTCATTTTTGTAGATATCATCAAGCAGAGGTGCTGGAAGCTCCTAAATATACAGAGTAGAACAATATCATTGCAGTTAGAGTAGCCAAGCTGTTAAGAATGTATTTTTTCAAAGTAACTAGTAGAATCATTTTAATAAAAAGGTATAGCTGTAAAATATTTGTTTAAAACAAAATTATTAGTACATATTGCAAAATACAAATAATTTTGAACTATAAAATTATGGCTACTTATTATGATGAAAAGGTATTGTACTAGACTTTTACATCGGGATAAAAAATAGGAGTTACAACATATGGCCTGCATCTTCCTTTCCTACACCACAAAAGGCAAAGAACACTAAGTCCTCAGATTACTGATGCTCAATTCAAAGAAGAAATAAAACCTATTCAAGAAGGAAGATGTAAATATAAACTTTAAATTTATTAAATTTGCTAATACAAGCCTTTCTGTTTCAGAGGTGTGGTGTTAGTCATAGATGCAGTTAAAGGCTCAATGAGGTCGCAACACTAACTTTGCTATGGGTACAGAGCAGCAAGTCTCCACCGATCCTTTAAGTTGTGCTATGGAGTACCGCACAATATTAGCACTGTTCTGTGTGCAAACACATCCATGTCATTCATAGTATAAACCTAGAGATTTCAAATAGATCCATAGGGTAAAAAAACCCTTCTGACCTGTTGTGGTCGTTCCGAGTTATATGCAGCAGAATAATTGCTCTGTTATATTTATATAAACAAAAAGTGAGTGAAAACTGAAAGCTGGTGTTTTCCAAAGGATGCCTTGTGTCTAAGAAGGTTGATAACCATTGGTCTAGGGTACTTACTCTAATTCTAACCAGTTTATATTTTTCACCATAAAGCTAAGTTAGGCCATCTCTAGTTCTGATGGAAGACAGCTTATTCCCATGCAACCTGCTTTCTCTCCACTGTACCAAGCTGACATTGAGTACACTTCCCAAAGTCCCACTCTCTCCCTGCTGCCCACCTGTGCAAACTGGAGGACATCACAACTTGGGAGGACATCACAGCTCCCATCACAGCTTCTCCTATTAAACTTTACATTTTGAGCTATTTTTTTAAATACCTTTAAAATGTCATAGATTTACATTTTAATAAAATTAAAGCAAAAGCATTTAATAGGGGAAGCACTAGATAGTGATGTTGAGAAGTAAACAAAGAACTTAGTTTAAAAGAGACCTGAGCAACACTTTTGCACTGTCTTGGGTGTTAGGATGAGGAAACCTGTTCCAATTGGATGGAACACCTAGAATACATAACCTAACCCACAGAAACAGCTGTATACCATCAGAACAAGGGGTGGCCTAATTTAGCTTTATGGTGAGAAGTTAACTGGTTAGAATTAGAGTAAGTACTTCTACTTAAAAAAGGTAGAGAACAATTCTAAGAATTAGGCATTATTATTATAATATTATAGTTAAAAGTGAATTAAAAATATCTGGTATATTAATTGACCAGTTTATGGTCCTACCAACTACATACTTCACATACTGATATACAGGCAATGCAGAGATCAGCAAAAAGTTAAACACTTCTGTTCTACTGAGAGACATTTATACAAGTGCAATTTTTGTTATCTTTATTTTCATTCACAATACAAAACTAAAATCTATGACATAACTAAAAAATGAAAGCAGTTTCAATTTCACAGCAATTTTTGTAGTAGTATGATGTGCACCTTCAGATATCAAATTCCACAAACAATGAGAAACCTGTTAAGATTTTTAGGAAAGCTGAATAATTAAAACAATTCACATTGTTTTATACATCAGCACTCTAGAAAGACATACATTTAATCTCCAAAAAATCAAGGGAATGAACAGTTTGTTTTCTCTTGTTACAACTTAACTGAAAAAATCTGTAAACAGATGCACTATATTTTTTGCCCAAATATTTGATAAATTAATTTGGACCAGATTTAATCAGCATTTTAAAATTTAATCAAAATGTTTAAATTAAAAAATCCCAAAGAATGAAATTAAAGACAAGTTTAAATCGCTCCTCCCTACCCACTCAAATGAGTTTCTACCTAATTAATATAATATAATAAAAATGTTCAATATTATGATCAAGAAATGAAAAACTTAAGGATGAAAGTGAAACCTCAACTTTAGCCCCTCATCTGCAGACAGCTTTGTTTATATGAGCATGTTATTTTCTCAAAAATTGTAATTTTATATACAATGCAGAGCATTGTACCGGCAATGCATTTTTTTCATATTTTCACTACCTTAATGATCAAAATCAAAATAATCTGATACAGGTTTAACAGATTTTGTATAAAGCACTATACATGTGATTATAAAGGGGTATACTTTAAACTATGGAACGTATTTCGTTTGAGAAAAATGCTTCTCTAAGCAATGTTTTATTTAAGCATTCTCAGTCAAACACATTTGGGGCTTGACTGCTCTTGCTGACGTCACAGAAAGATCTATTATTGACAACAGTGGTGGCTAAGAGAGTGGAATTGGCCACTTTAAAGTGTATTTTTGTGTTTATTGGCTCTTACATGGAAATCCCGCTAACTCTAGTTTTCAACTTTTTTTTGGCTCAAGGCATCCCTAGGAAAATGCCGGCTCTTAATTTTCACTTGTTTTTTGGCTACAGAAAGACAACAACAGGTCAGAATGTTTTTGACACTGTGGATTCCTCTTTGAAATCTCTGGGTTTAAGTCTTACAAATGTAACTTCACATGAATAAAAATAAAATGAATGTAAGTTAATATTAAAAGCGTTTCCACGTTGTATTAAACAGACATATTATATTTTGGGAAATGTAGAAAAAAAGCTTTTCCAAAAGTTTAATCACTTTTAATCACAAGCAGAGAATAAGCATACAAACTTTGAACACAAGAATGAAAGTTTGTCACACATGGGAGAAACTGAAAACATTTAAGTTCTTATCAACATCCTGAGGCAAGTGTAACTAACAGTTAACTGTAAGTTAACAGAACGCATTCTACAATTATACCAGCATGTTACATATGTATGCAGCCACAGATTCTTTGGATTTATTTCTAAGTTTTAAATAGAAAATATTTTCTACATAATTAAAGAGATACTCCCCTTGGGAATACTATTTGGAATATTCAACGTATTGATGATTACCATCCACTCAAGTTGTCCTCGTTACACCAGAAGAAAGCTACATTTTTTCAAGCTAAGACTTACTGGTGACATCGTGAACTTGGAATGTTGTTACATAGTAAACACATTTAAAAATGTTTGTTTGCTTTTAACAAGTGATTCACAGGCTTTTGTGGCACTTGTTTGTGACACTGATGATCTGGGACAGATCATTTTTAGTATAAATCCTATGTAAGCCTTCAACAAACTCCCATTGTTGACACTGTTTGATCTTACCTCTAATACAGTTAAAGGCAAATCTGTTTTGACCAGCTAACACTGTAATATGAATAGGCAATCAATATATCATTTGTAATGATAAAATTTCAAGAGAAGAGGTGCCATATCATATCATTCATCTTTTATATAGTTAGAAAGATGGCACTCTCCATAAAAAAACCTATTCAAATGTTTTCTCCCTTAGAAACACTAGAACTATTTTAGTCACGCTTCTCAGTCTTCAAAAATTAACAAATTGATAAATCCTTTACTTTAAAGATGGGAATGTTTATCTTTATATGTCTTGTGAGGAATATGACTTAGGAGAAGCATAAGGCTCTGTGAAGGCCATCCATTTTGCAGACAAGGTTCCTCGGGTGAATTTGATATCTTTTATTAGACCAACCCAAATGGTTGGAGAATAGTTATTAAGCAAGCTTTTGGGTTCAAAAACCCTTCGTCAGGCTCAGGAAGCTGCAGCAGTTGGTGTGTGCTCTTCCTGGATGGAATGAAAAGTAAACAAGCCAGGGGCTGGGCTGGGCTGGGCTGGGGAGTCAGTTGCCAGGCAGATTATAATGTATCAAAAATCCAATGTCTATGTTTAGTCCCTGATCTCTAGTATCCAGCAGGTTGATAAAATGGAGTTCATAGGCTCGTCTCTGGGATATGTTGTGTAAATTTCCCTTGAGGATCAGGACTGAGAGACTGGAGAGAGAGTGGCCCTCCTGTGAGAAATGTGCCCCCACCGGTAATTGAGTGTTTCTGTCTTTGATGGATTTCCGGTGTGCATTCATTCTGGTGCGCAGTTGTTGTCTGGTCTCTCCTACATATCTTCCATCAGGGCATTTGGTGCATTGGATGAGGTATACTACATTCCTGGAGGTGCAGCTGTAAGATCCTGGGATGCTGGTGGCTCTGTTGTGGGGTGTAGTAATAGTGGAGGTGGTGGAGATGTGGGGGCAGGTTTTGCATTTCTTGTCATGGCACGGTCTGGATCCACGTGAAGATACCACGTGAAGAACTGCTGCAGTACAGAAGAAAAACACCCACAAATCGCACACCGCTGGTTATGACCTATCACCCATCCCTTGAACCTGTATGGAAAATCCTCAAAAAAATTGCAACCTATATTAGAAAAAGACCCTATTCTTAAAAAGATCTTCCCAGAGCCACCCATCCTAGCCTTCAGACAAGCACTGAACCTCGCCAACCT